TGTGCTAATCATTGGATACTTCAGATTTGATCATAAAATTAAATTGTTTGAAAATCAGAGTAGTCTAAGACACTTATAGTAGATCATAGGGTTACTGATACGAAGTCTAGCATTTGACTTTGATCCTGGGCTTTTACATCACAAGGAGTAGGGTCACCTGCCTAATTTAATGGATTTTCTCATCAGTATCCTCTCCAGTCATGGGCAAAGCTTTGGAGATTCCCTGGGCTAACTCCTGAATTGTATGCTCCCAAGACTCAAGTATAGGGACTGACACTCAGAAATGTATCCCAAAAACAGATTAAATAAACTTATTCAAACTTGTACAACAAAGTTAACGATAATTTCAAATTTAAAAACAATGAGTATAATTTCACATGACCTCTTTTTCTGCATGCCACTGATCCTCCCACTTAAACTGATCAGGTTTTTTTACACCATTCTTCATTTGTCAATTATATACCACCTGTTCTTTTTAATTATATGTTGTTGTAGTTAATTGACATGTACATAAGATGTAATCTAATTAAAATTCAAAATTTCCTGTATTTTTACATGTACAGATGATCTGATTTAATTTTGTTGTTCTTAAGGATAATTGTATTATGTAAAAAGCTTTTTACAGTGCCACATTTATTAACAGATATTTTTATGCTAGTTGCACATCAGTATAACCGTAGATAGCATTAGCAATGAGACTTTCAGCCTGTGAAGTAAAATCTTTTATTTTATTAAGAAAAGATATTCTGTTTGATTAAAATATCTATTCAAAATATCTGTTCAATCCCATTTTGTTCAGTACCACAAAACCAATCTTTTGCAGCAAACTAAGAGTTCTGTACTTGAATTACATTCATATTACAGCAGTAAAGTTTTTGTGGATGATTATGTTGTGACAAAGCAAAGAAAGGATTAGCAGATTTGAACATATTAATACTGTAATAAATAGCAATGAATGATATAGAATTGGTCACTTGTGTCTATAAATGTATGCCATGAGATCAGTTTCTATTTGTGATCTAGGAAATAAATGAAAACTTGTTGCTATAACTAGATTCCATCACAAGCTGGATACAGTGACCCAGCTAATTATTATATACTGGTCATTGCCAGGAACTACAAGAAATGACAATAAAATACACCAAATTGTCACATAATAAAGTTTTATAACAGTAAATGAAGATTTAATTCCAGTACATTTTCAATAAAATTGAAATTTAGTGCCAAAATAATTATTTTTATTACATTGTATAGGTTGTGACAACTTGACACCAAACTATAGTTGATATTTGGAAGAATTGTCATTTTGAAATTAATTTCAAATTTAATGGATATATCAAAGACATGCAGGATCACATGTTTCATAACATCGAAAAATATCCATATTATCAAGATGATATGCCAATAAAAGATAATACCATCAATCCTAAAGGACATTGAAATTAGTACAAAGTGACCAGAAGAGGCAGATTTAGATGTGGTGTAGGGAACTACTGATAACATGTATGCTTGAAAGGAAATGTATTTCTCGATAATGTGCATGTTGGTAATCAAAACCATCCATACTGGTTTTTCAATATTAAACAATCAATATCTAGATTACTGTAAAACATGGTTACAGTAATATTTTTTAAAAATAATCCAATGGCTTCCTTTTGACCTTTATTGGCGTCAAATCAGTTGACCAGTTTAGAGTTAAAGAAAAACAGGAACAGCCATTCTAGATTATTGATTTTTCTAACTCAGCATAATTATATGTAGTTCCATAGTAGAAGCAAGCAGCAGAGTGTAGGAATACCTACTAGTGCTGGGGATATAGCAACACAAATTTCTAAATAATTTAATAATTATTGACTGTCAGCTTCTATCTTTGGGTTTGTATCCGTTTGTATTCTTTTGAAATTGTTTAATGCACTGTAACTGCATTGGTGTATCTACATGTTGGTTGATCATGGTAAACATCCATAGTTAAGTTTATATAATATAGTTTGGTTGAAATGATGGCTGCATACAATTTTAGCACATGTATACTCTATGACTAATAAACTGTTTATGGTTTAAAGATGCCTTATGCAAGAGCTTAATCTGCCTATTGTAGATCTTTTTTTTAGGGGGGGGGGGGGCGGGGTCAGATGTTACATAAATTATTATTTAGACATTTATTCATAATCGGATGGATGATACATTAAGCGGATTAGATAATGTCTGCCATATCTTTGTTTAATGTTAAAATGGGTAATCAAGACATTGTTTAATATCGTAGCAGTGGTACTTGACAATCAAGACCATTTCGGCTAGAGCTACATGTATATCTTGTCAAATCTTCAAACATTCATAAGTTCACTCAGAATAACGTATTAATTGTACTTGTAATTTGACTGAAAATTTTAATAAGTTCATTTTTCATTATCTTTTCTAGCAAGAATAGCCAGCTCTTTACCTAAATCTTACATTATGCATCTTTAAGTAATAGTTCAGTTTGGTTTCTTACAAAAGGAGATAGGAATAATGTACCACTGGATTTCCTGAAACAATGCCACTTGAGTATGGTGATTATAAAACCTGATGAAACATAGTTACAATAGTTGTTCAATGATTAACAGCAGTAAGATAAGATTTTATTGTACCGAAACATCCATTAAGGATAGCATACAATATAAATATGTACTTAAACGTACAATATGCAAGAGCTAAATCTGCCTATTGCAGGTCTTTCTTTAGGTTTGAAATGTTATGTAAATTATTGATTAGACATTAATTAACTTATCCAGACCATAACCAACTCTTGATGTCATCGTTAGCCTGCGATGTTTATTGGATTAGGTTCGATTTATTGTTTGACTTCTATTCATGATTTAATCATGAAATGGATAATCGAGACTATGTTTTTTATTGTACCGACTTTAGTAATGATGATCGAGGCTAGGCCGAAAATTCAATCGCTAAAATCTCGGTTCAGAGTGGATCAATTTGACTGAATTTTTTTTAGCAAATTCCCTTTACATTATCTAGTTTTTAACTATTATAGTGAGAACTGCTAGCTCTTTATTTATTCTCCCATAATGTGCCTTTAAATAAAATTCTATTTTAATAAAAGTATATTGCAATGCATGCAAATTTTGTTTAAAAATAATATCAAGACTTGTAAGACCAAAACTCTTAATTTTGAGCTATTAATTAGAAAAATAATAAAACACCATCTGTCAGTTTTGGGGCGTTAATTGCTACCTTCCTCCCATAATTAGCATGTTATTGTTGCCATGCCATAATGATGTCACATCACAGCCCATAAGAGAAAGACATGTATAATTAATGAGAAGCTTTTAAGTCATCAGCCTCATTGGATAATATTGACCATAAGTCAATTTCCCTGATGAATATCATTCTGCATAACTCTTAGAAATGGACCAGCACTCATAGTAAAGTCATAGGACTTAGTCAATTGTACATATTTTAATTTCTCATACCTTTAGTACAATTTGTATCAATACAGTAAGTATATATTACAAGATTTATACTTCTGAATATGTTTATGGATGTTATGGGCTCTTATCTTGTAGATCATATTCTATCCTTATAATGATATACAATGGACAAGATCATTGATCGTCATTTGAGGGATTTTTCGAACTACAATATTGTGAGAGTCGAATTTCGAAAAGAACTATCAGTACAAATATTTCGCAACATTTGGCATTGTCTGGAAATGATATAAACATACCAATGCTACAATTCATATGAACATGTAGGAGTTTGAGATGTGTATCAAGAAACATTTTATTTCGGATTTTTTACTTCTCCTGTTTTGAGAATAAAGATATCATTTTATTATCAATACTTTGTTATTTTGCCTGTTTTCCAATAACTCACTGTTTTTATTCGCCCACATGGAAATGTGGTTGTAAATTGCCATCGCCCCCGTCTAGTCGTCATCCACAATTTCATCTGATTGTTTTAAAATAGATATATGTTATTTACTTTAGTGAGATGAAGAACCCTTTTTAATTGCAATAATTTCTTCTGTAGTTATGGCCCTTGTTGCACCTTGTGAATGCCAAAAGTTATGCATAAGTTAAATTAGTGAAACGAAGAAGTCTATTGAACTTCAATAATTTTCGTTTATAACTTCTAGCGTTATGGCCCTCGTTTCACTTTGATGAACCTTATGAACGCTCTAACGACAAAAGTTATCCAATCTGTATGAAATTTATATACATCATTTAAATGAGTGAAACCAAGAATCCTATTGAATTTCAGCAATTTCTGTCAATTACTTCTAGAGTTATGGCCTGTGTTTCACTTTATTCAACCTTACTCCAAAAGTTTTCATCTGATCTGTATGCATCACTTACGTTAGTAAAATGAAGAAGCCTATTGGATTTCAGTTAATTATGTCTAGAGTTATGGCCCTTGTTTCGCTTTGTTGAACCTTGTGAACACTCGACTGATCTGTATGAAATTTATATATTTATAAATCTTTCATTTAAATTGGTGAAACGTAGACGCCTATTGAATTTCATCAATTTCTGGTGATAACTGTCTCACTTTGATGAACCTTGTGAACGCTTTAACAATATAAATTATCGTCTGATCTGTATGAAATTTATATGCATCATTGACATTAGTGAAACAAGGAAACCTATTGAATTTCAGCAGTTTTGGTTAATTACTTCTAGAGTTAAGGCCCTTGTTTAAGTTTGTAGACCCTTTTATTGTGAACTGTCAGATGACGGAAATTATAATCTGATTCGTATGAAATTGTCTTGTAAATGCCCCCCATTACCTACAAAAGAATAAATATGCAACAACCCTTGTCAACCGCTCGGACCTGCTGTGGGCGTATGTTTCGTTGCCTGGTAACCTATCTAGTTCAAGCAATCCTAAACTGAGTTTACTGACCAGCTAAATTTGGCCATCTCCAAAAATATTTCCATAGACATTCATTTGTTTTGTCACAAATATTTTCATAAAACAAAATTTTACATATTTATATTTTTCAGATTGAGTTTTAGCCCCAATAGAAATGTCCACAGGCTCATGGGATGATTCATCAACTCTTGTTAAAGACCTTCCTTCCCCTACTAATAATGATAAAGATGACGTTTTTGGAAAGAAAACAGATACTCCATCTCATGTAGCCCAGATTCCTTCAGATCCTAAACACAAACCATTTACAGCATCACCTGTCAAATCTAAGAAATCTAAAGCTGCAAAAGGATTAGGTTTTCTTCTCAAAGCAAGAGAAGGTGCCAAGAAAAGGTCAAAATCCCCTTTAAAATCACCATCTAAATCACCATCTAAAGAAATATTAACTTCAGAGTTGACAGATGAAGATCTTGCTGCAAATGAAAAACTCAAAGTCAAATCTGAACATTGGCAGGCCTTTATGCACATGCAAGATAGAATAAAATCTAATGTACTGAAAACACAAACTGCCTTACTACAAACTGGACGCATTTCTCCCTCTGGTCGAGTTTCACCTTGTAAACCTGATAAAGAAGATCATACTTCGTCACCTTGGACACAGTTTGACAAAACAGAGTGTGATTATCAAAGTGATTCCCAACAATATTATGACAACTCTTACCAAGATGATGTAACAGGAGATTTCTTGTGTGATCAAGTTGTTCCTGATGCCAATGATGACTTTACTTCTTTGATCCCATCTTTGCATGTAACAACTTCAAAACATTCTTCTAAACAAGGTGATAGTCGTAGATCCAGCATGGAGCAGCAGAATCTAACTGATGTTTTAGAATTTGAGAACATTGAGAAAACCGAGAGCAAAGATCCTTTTGGGTTATCTCTTAATCAATCTAATGGCAATTCTGAATCTCAACCATCTGTTGTAATCAGTGAGGATCTATTAGGACTGGAAGACTTCCTAGGATCAGGCAGTGTACAATCTACCCCTCCAGTGCATGACTCTGGCAATGATTGGTTTTCTGGCTATAATTCTTCTGTTCAAAGCAGTGCTCAATCATCATTATGCTCTAGTCCTACTGGTTTTGACCAGGATTTTTTAAATGACCCCAAAAGTACTGCTGTTTCTGACTTGGCTAGGAGTCTTGTTGATGATTTCATGCAGTGGGGAGCAGAAACAGCTGAAAAAGATGTTGGACCATTACCAATCTCTACAAATCCTTTTCATACCCCTGCATTACCTCCCAAAGGTGTCCGTGTACCGCCAACAACTCCTGATATTTTTGATCCTTTGAAATCATGTACAGACAATTCAATGGATGAACTATGGGGATCACCTAGTCTTAACCAGAATACACTTAATGTTTTCCAAAATTTTGGCTCTTTAGAACCTACAAATATACAATTGTCAAATACCTCTCAATCTGTGGCCACAAATGTTGATAGTAATGTTGATATTTTTAGTACAAGTGCTGCAAGCGACTCATTTGGAGTAACTAACTCATTTGGTACAACTGACTCGTTTGATTGTCCTCCAGTTCAGGCATCAAATAATTCAGCCCTAAACGATGTTTTTAATCAATTTAGTGCATCACCAGCAAATTCGCCAATCAAAATAGCAAGACAACCATCAGGAAAGACCAAAAAGCATGACCCATTTAGTGCACTTTTCAAGGCAGCGAAAGATCCAGTCGCAAAAGTAGATGATGACGAAGATGAACCAATGACACTAGCAGCTTTGAAAGCTAAAGCTGATCATTTAAAAGGAAAAAGTGATACCCAGTCTGATATTATTTCACATAACATATCCAGTATTGATATAGAATCTGTATCAAAATGTACTAACTCAGATTCAGATCCATTTGGTATGTCTGTTAATCCTGTGAATTCAGACTTTTCTAATCCTTTTGATAGTGCACCAAGTTCAGACCCATTTTATTCTGATCAAAATAAACAATCGACACAAGGAGCTACTAATAATAATCCTGACCCTTTTGATGCCTGGGGCAGTATTCCTTCGAAGGCTGCTCAAGTTACCTCCACAGATCCCTTTATGTCAGTTTCAACAAACAAAAAATGTTCTCAAATGGAGTTAGAGGATGATGATTTTTTCAGTAGTCGAGGTCAATCTGTAGCACCATTAAATGATGCCTGGGGTGCTATTGATTCAGGGATTTCTCCTATTGTTACAAACCCATTTGAGGATGATCCATTTACTGCTGATCACATTCCAATGCAGACTGAAAACGAAATGTCGAATGACCTTAGTTCCAAACCCAAAAATCCTTTCCTGACAGCAAGCTTTGAAAATATTGCAGCTGAAAACAAAAACACACAACCAAGTTTATTTCTTGGAGAATCAACATTTGGATTAACTACAGATTCTCAAAATTCCCAGATGTCTAGTTCTCCTTCAAAAAAGTCAGCAACCAAGAATGAGACAGAATCTAGTGATCCTTTTGATCCTTTCCATGATAAAAAAGAAGATCATGGTCAGGAAACCCAGGCGATGGATTTTCTTGGAACTCCCGAAAAACGAATGTCAACATCAGATTATGATAATCTTGATGAGGATGAGAAGGAAACATTTAAACTGGAGATAAAAACTTCAGCAAGGCCACTTTTAGAGTCTGGCCCAACTCCTATGCTACCTCCTCCACCAAAACCCCCAAAGTCTCCCCAACTTCCTTTTAGAGAGAATCCTTTTGATAGAGATTCTCCACCAGAAGAAAATTTTGCTAAATTTGAAGTGGTAGAAGAGGAATTAAAATCTAAACCACTTCCAGAACCAAGAGAGCGAATCATGAGTACATCTACTGAAAGTAGCACACCTGATGATGAAGAGGATCATTTACCTTTAGAAGATTTTCATCCTCGTTATGAAAAGGAAGGTTGGAAGTTGATGCTGAGGCAACCCACCAAGAAGAAACTTGCTGGAAATAGATTCTGGAAACCTGTCTTTGTCAAAATAGTTAAAACTAAAGAAGGGTTAGCACTCCAGTTGTTTACAGAAGAGAACCAAAATGACCCATTTCAAGAATTGCCTTTACAACCATGTTATATGCTATCAGATATGTCATTGCAACAATACGATCAATTTGGTAAAATTCACACTGTTAAAATTCAGTATGTGTTTTATAGAGAGCGAGTAGGAATTCGTCCAGAAAGAATAACGCCTTCTTTTGTTAGAAAACCTAAACCCACAATGATTCTTGATCATGCCCCACAGATGTCAGAGTTACTAAAATTTGGAAGTTTAGATGAAAATGATTTAAGGTCATTTGTTTGGGAAGTTGAAGATGCCTTCATGAAGCTGGAATCCTACAGAGATAAAACTCTGTCTTACACTAAAGATGAGGTGACCGCTGAAGTGTGGGAAGAATACGTTGCTCAAATTGATAAATTAGGACATGTAAAATATCATAAGGGTCGTTGTAGACTGTTTTTCTTGGCATTTGTTACTGGTATGCCATGGTGTGAATTGGGTTTAAATGATAAGAGACGAAAGGGAAGGGAAGTGGTGGGAAGACATGATATCATACCAGTTAAAACTGAGGATTGGATAAATATTGAATCTCCTGAGTTTCATTGCTCGGTTGATCTAGATGAGTATGAGCGAACACATACCATCAAATTTCATCCGTTAGATGCATGTAAGTTTGAATTGTGTAGGTTTCGTGTGCGACCAAAGTATAACCGTGAACTTCCTCTTCAAGTAAGGTGCCAACAAACTCTCAAGGATCGCCATTTTGAAATACGATGTGATATGTTAGTGACTGGATATCATGCTAATACTAAGAAACATGGTCAGTTTCCTTGTGAGGACATCGAGTTACGTTTTAATATTCCCGATACATGGATTTATTTGTTTAAGTATGAAAAGAGATTTGGTTATGGATCTTTCAAAGCATCTGCAAGAAAACCAGGAAAGATAAAAGGATTAGAAAGGATAACTATGATGGCTCAAGGATCTTTAACACCCACTTTAATGGAAGCATCTTCTGGAACAGCTAAGTATGAAAATCTGCATCATGCTGTTGTTTGGAGAATCGCCAGACTCCCGGAACGAAATCAAGGTAAGTTCTTGAAACTAAATAAATAATCCAACTTTAAGCACATCTGCCCATCTGTAGAATTTCACAAGCTGTACACAACAAATCTGAAAAGCAACTGTTTGACAAATCTAAGGACAATAACTCTGCAAAAAATTTGTTTGTTTATGGTCACGAAGCAGTCACTTTGTTCCTTTTAAAGTGACATAATGCTAAAACCTAATTATGGGTGCCTATTATTTACAGAAAAGTTTAGCTGAAAGCTCTTATACATGTACAATTTATGGTGTTTAAAGGTTAAATTCTTAAAAAGTATCAAATTTTATGACACCTAAAATTACTGACAGGTGAAGTTGCAATTTTATTGCCAAACAATTAAGACTCGCTAATACGACTCATTGTGGTTGATTTGGATGGGTCAGTTTGTTTAAATGGGTATTTACAAACTATATTATGTACCCCTAACTGTTAAAGCTGTGATACTGTGTAGATCAATGTTTTAACAGAATAAAGTGGTAATATTGACTTATCATGATTACATATTGATTGTAGTTGTAAAGTGGCAGACACCAAAAAGTTACTTATAAATTGTTAATAACTGCTTAAGGCTGGGAAAATGTCTATTATAGCAACTTCAAAAATTGATAAAAGTTTTGGGGTTTGAGTAATGTTATTAAAATTAGGTAGATTGTAAAAACATACTGTATGAATTCTTTATGGATGGCATAAGAATGGGTATGTCAACTCTTTCTCACCCCCTTGCAGGGGCGGATCCAGAGAGGGGGTTTGGGGGTCGACCCCCCCCCCCTGCTCACCCCCCCCCCTGCTCAGCAACATAATTTTTTTTGTAAATCAAAACTTTTTATGAGAAAAGTTTCTCGACCGTGTGCTTTATCCTTTATCGTCAGATGTGGGACAGGATGGGCAATCAAAGCACGAGATAATGATATAGACATTATGTGATATCACAATTGATGCTTTGCATTCATGAAATTGAATCACAATGTCATTGTATTAATTCATAATAAAAATTGACGTCAAACGAGGTTTAGAATTTCTCTGTTTAAAAAGCTCAATATGTATGTATATACGCCAAAATGACGATAGAGACCATGCGATAGGAGGGGGAGGAGATACATTGTCTCAGGAACCTGGCAAACCCCCTCCTGCAAAAATTCCTGGATCCGCCCCTGCCTTGATGATGGAACCTCTCATTTAAGACATTACAATAGCTAGAAAAATTTTTTTGTACATTTATGTGCCAGTCTCTTGCAATGTTTCATCATTCGTAAATGGTGTGTTTACTGCTGTAGGTCACGGCTTGGTTTCAGTCAGATTAAAAACAGACATAACAAAAACTTTATTTAAGACGTATAGGTGATGCTGGCTTGCTGATATGTATTATATGAAAGAGCATTAAATTTAAATCAAAACGTACCAAAAAAGTTGGTCATAACAGTAATAACAAAAATAAAACCCTGCAACCATTTCCATATTTTGATACGAATCAGATGATATATACCAGTACTTTGCAGTACTTTGCAGTGAATTTTGGTTTCATTTGTTTTGACCGTATCCTGTTTATGTCATCTTTCATTTCATCCTCTGTTTGTAAATAATGAATGGTATTGGTATTAATAGCTTGTGAGAATACTCTTAGTAGCTGTTTTCTATAATAGTAAGTGCAGGGGGACTGCACCACACAAAATTTACACAAAGACAAATACACGGACAAGGCATCATACTCAGAAAAACACAAACAGACAAGCAATTAAAAAAAAAGTGAATGGATCCGGGGGCTAGCCGTAAGCGTCCACTGTGCGGTACAGTCCCTGGTCTGTGTTACTTAAACATTGTAGTTTGCAAGGGATTCAGAATCCCCTAAATGATAATCAGAGACTTTATGCAATACATAGTTTTTTTTGTTAATTTGTGCATCAACAATTAAAATGGCTGCTAGTTGTTTATGTCAGGTTCAGGAATTCACAAGGAATATAATAACTTGATTAGACTTAATGTCAGTTCCACACTGTGTCTTGTAGGTCCCTTGAGAATCTTCAAAGATATAAATGTCAGGAAAGCTTAAAAATAAAAATGCAAATGGGAATTGGTAATTGAGAGTATGTTTAATCATATAAAAAGTCCATAAACTGAGAGAATAAAGAGTTATCATAATACTGTACTGTTACAGAAAACTGACAGAAGACTAAATCTTGTCAATTTGTGTTTATATATCCACATTTGCAGAATGCACAATTCGAGCTTGATGTGTGACTAGATGAAAATAAGGCGCTGACTCACTAACCAGGCGCACCTGGCTTCGATCCCGGTGGTGGTCTAGATAGTTTTTTGGGATTTTCCAGTCTGGTTTCCCCTTGTCAGAGGTGTAAGGCGGCAGACCTGGTAAGGAAAAATGTCTCATCATTCGGATGGGACCAGAAACAACCCCATGGTTTCTTGTACTGTTGTCTTCACATTTACTTCAATGTTTGTAAATGCAATGCTCATCATGGTTTTCAATGGAATTTATAAAAACTTTGTTTAGATACATGTAGCCTACATGTAAAAATTCTCTTAAATTAATAACAGCTTCAAGAGGGCTTCGTCTTTTCAATCATGACACGTTCTTTGTTTACATTCTTGGGGGAATACCACATTAACTGAAGCAGAACAGTTCTGAAAATAACCCTGTTCTGATTAATATCTCTCAAATGAACCAGATTTTGTCATTGGTCAGTTATTAGGAAAATCCCTCTTAATCAGCCAATCAGAAATTGTGTAGTTTTGACACTTAATGTAATGGTGACATGTGTCGCTTTGCTCAATTTAGTTGATGACATTTGGGCAAAGGGTGATGTATTAAAGTAATTATCAGAAACTAGCAACACGATTCAAGAGTTCATAAAAATGATAAATGTCTAACAAATATTTGCCATAATCCAATGCCAGTGTTTTTTTTTTAATGAATATAGCAAGGTGCTTAGAATAAACTCATGTGTCTTAATTATTATGCTGTTGGCAGTAATTGATTTTCTATGGAAAAGGTTGCTACGGCTAACACTTGATCTACATAATTATATTCCCTGTAGGGCGAGTCAGTGTGAGTATGTAGAAACAATGTGATTGTTCATACATAGATTAGTTGGGTCATCTGTGGCTTATACAAGTCACAATTTATTGATAGCCATATTTTATATTTATTACATTAAATAATAAATAATGAAGTTTTATATAGCGTCTTCTCCATGTTGACACATGCTCAAAACGCTTTTTGTAATGGCTCTACTGGTAAAACTGTTGAAACAGGAAAGTCTTTAGTGCGGATTTAAATTGATTAAAAGTTTGTTGATTCTTGATCTGTTGTGGAAGTTCGTTCCATAATCTAGGACCAGCTGAACTGAAAGACCTATACCCATATGACTTTAAATTATATCTTGGAACAACTAGTGACTGTTTATTTTGAGAGCGAAGTGATCTAATAGGGTTGTAGTCATAGAAGAGTTCAGATAAGTATTGAGGGGCTGCATTATTGCGACATTTATACACTAATGTTAGTATTTTGTATTTGACTCGCGCCTCAGCAGGTAACCAATGTAAAGAAGCCAGCACATTCTGGATGTGATCAAACTTATGTGTCCTTGTTACTATTCGGGCTGCAGTATTAAGAACCTTTTGGATCTTGGCTAGAAGTGCTTGTGGGATTCCATAGAGTAAACTATTACAATAATCAATCCTTGATAAAATTAGTGATCGCACAAGTAGTTTACAAGCGTCAGCAGTGAGATAGTTTTTGATGTTGCATATACAGCGTAGATGATAGTAGCATGTACGGCATACCATATCAACCTGAGCGTCCATTGTCAGAGAAGGATCAAATATCACTCCAAGGTTTCAAACATTTTTGGAGAAATTTATTTCTGAATTACCAATGGTGATTTTAAGATCAGGTAGTAACTTGAGTTGTTGTGATGAACCTACTAAAAGAGCCTCTGTTTTATCGTTGTTCAATTTTAGTTTGTTCGCTTTCATCCACTATTTAACTGCCAGCAAACAGTCAGTAGTTTTTTGTAAGGCATTTCTGATTAGCATAGGACCAGACACACCAATGTTATTTAAGGCCTCCGTCTTCATTAGCCCAGTAGGAGCAGAACAGTTAACTTAAATCCCATTTCATTTCATTTTATTTAAAGATGCATTATGGGAGATTAGATAAAGAGCTGGCAGTTCTCACTATAATAGTTACATATCGGACCGTAACTTCCTGAATTATGGCCCCTGATTGTACGAAAAATCGCATTTTTAGCTTGTGGACCCTATAGAGGTCATAATTTTTATCCGATTTAAAAAAAACGTATCATTATATCACCGTTACACCCTAAGGAAGGCTGAGTTCGAATTTTGTGAAAATCGGCCCAAAACTGACAGACAAAATGGCCGCCCTTCATTCTCAAATAGCGTAAAAATATGGTACATGTATATCAAGGTTGTGGACCCTATGGAGGTCACAATTTTAATCCGATTTTGTTGAAACTTGAAATGTAAGTTTATAACACAAAGATTTCGCGCATATCGAATTGTAATTTCCTGAATTATGGCCCTTGATTGAAGGAAAAATCACTTTTTTTTTAGCTTGTTCTCTATCCATCTCACGAAAATGTGGACGTATCCTGCCTGGCAGCCGGTGGTTATCCAATTGAAAAAAAATGTTTGAATATAATACCGTGACACCGTAAGGATGGTTGAGTTTGAATTTCGTAAAAATCGGACCGACACTGAAGGACAAAATGGCCGCCCCTTGTGTATCAGGGTTGTGGACCCTCTGGAGGTCACAATTTTCATCTGATTTTAATAAAACTTGAAATGCATGTTTATAACCCAAATATCTTGGTTCCTTTCAATTTTCGTACATATCGAAACATAACTTCCTGAATTATGGCCCCTGATTGTACGAAAAATCGTGTTTAGCTTGTGGTCCATCTAGGTCACAATTTTTATCCAATTTAAAAAAAAAGGTGTGAATATATCACCATTACACACTAAGATCTTGTTTCCTTTGTTAATAGCGGATACCCGAACTTAACTTCCAGGATTATGGCCCCTGATTTTTGAAAAATCGCATTTTTAGCTTGCGGATTCTCTAGAGGTCACAATTTTTTCCGATTTTATAAACCGTTTAAATACATCACCATTCCACCAAAATGAAGGTTGAATTTGTATTTCGGGAAAATCGAAATGAAACTGCCCGACAAAATGGCCGCTCTTTTTATGCAAATTGTGTAGAAGTGTGTAATACAAAGGCTGTGGACCCTCTGGAGGTCACAATTTTTATCTGATTTTGATGAAACGTAAAACATATCTTTATATCCCAAAGATCTCTGTCCCTTTTGATATTTGCACATTTCAGGCCATAACTTTCTGGATTATTGCCCCTGATTTTAAAAAAAATCACATTTGTTTTTAGCTTGTTTTCTATCCATCTCTTGCAAAATGTGGGCGTATCCTGCCTGGCAGCCGCTGGTTTATAAACTAATGAGGGCTTTTGAATAACTCTATTACGTTATGGGAATGTATGCACGAATGCTAAATAAATCGGGAACTTGTCCCCATTTTCATTCTTTGCCTTAAGTTAGGCTAAGAATTATTCTGCTATTTCGCATACTTTGAAAGTTTTTCTTGAATTCTATGAGGAGCTCACAAAGTTCAATTTCTCGATTGAAATTTTGTAAAAACACCAAGTCTTATTTGCTGAGATTTGATTCTGCCAAATCATCGCAAATTGCGCGAAAAACTGGCCAGACCTCTAGTTCGAGGGAAGGATCAACTCCTGCACAAAAAGCCTCCCAGTTACTCATAGATGGGAAAGGTATCGGACAGGGTGATCTGCCATTTTCATCCTTCGCGGATTCGGAGACAGTGTCCGTAGTAATTGCATCATTGTTTTTGATGTCATTACTTGAACATGTTTTCCTCACAGTGATGGGAAAGATACATGTAACTGATGCTTTGTTTCACAGTGGTTTCCAAGAGATCTGCTTGGTGTTTCGTTTTCTGGTGTCGAGTGAGATCGTCCACGATTTACACCAGAATTTAAGCTGGGTGAGAAAGCCTCCGTAATGCCATTTCAAGTTGTATGAACGTGTGAAAATCTCCTTGAAAAGTCCGCAAACATGCTTCATGGCGACGCCAGTTAGCCCATTTTTTTGGTATGGAAAATGAGCCCGGTCCGAATAATAAAAATCAGGAACTTGAAATGAAGTTCGGCCAAAAAACTAAATGGACCGGTAAATTTGGAGTGCTATTCATGTAAGCATGCTCATGAAAAACAGGACACCTATTAACCAGTTCGGAAATGTGCCGTTCGATCTCAGATATTAAACCCATCACAGCATTTAGAAGGAACCCTAATCTAAAAGATACGCTAATGAAAGCAAGACTTTTATACCCACCGAGGAATCTAAAAACGAGCGGAGTTACGGTCCAAAATTTATTCAAAAAATGTGTTAAGAAAGATTGTGATATCTGCAATGAATTAGACCAAAACAACTACTTTATTAGTGGTAAAGCTGGTTATAATTTTTTAAGTAGAAATATGGTCTACTTATTAACCTTCTTTCTTTGTAAAAACAATACGTAGGAGAAAGCAAGCGAGCCTTTTCAAAAAGAATAAAGGAACACTATGCAGACATTAAACACAACAGGCCTAAACAGTTCGCAATACATTTCAATTTAAAAGGACATACAAGTAGAAATGCAATGATTGGATTTATAGAGTTTTTTAAGACCGCCCCTGATAATGGCAAAAATGATGCCATTAGAAAAGCCCATGAATTCAAATGGATTTGCACTTTTATTGTTTACTGTATGTACATTAAACATACATTATGCAAGAGCTAAATCTGTCTATTGCAGGTCTTTCTTTAGGCCTGAAATGTTATCTAAATTATTATTTGGACATTAATTAACCTATCCATACCATAATCAACTCTAGATGGCATCGCTAGCCTGCGATCTTTAGTGGATTATGAGCCGATTTACTGCATAACTTTCCTTCACGATTTAACAATTAAATGGATAATCGAGACAATGCTGTTTATCGTACTGACTTTAGTAATGATGATCAAGGCTAGCCGGAAATTTCAACCGCTTAGTTCTCGGTTCATAGTGGATCAATTTGAATGAAATTTTCAGCAAATTGCCTTTACATTATCTAGTTTTTAACTATTATAGAGAGAATGCCAACTCGTTATCGAATCTCCCATAATGTATCTTTAAGCCTTGCTTGCCTGTCAGGTTCTTTGAAGGGGTTCAGTAGAAGTTTTGTTTGAAACTTGAACGTGAATATAACTGACATGCAGCAACCCTAAATCTGATATCTGGTTGTCAGGTGTGAAAGAAAAAGCATGGTTACTTAGCTATGCCCTTACATCATTAATAAAAATTTAGTAATTAAGCTGATAATAATTAATAATAGACTGATCACCCATGCACATTAGAAAAATGACCAGAAAAGAATTAGAAAGCTGTGTACAAACAAAAACATTTTTATATGGCCACATTAAAATGTTGTTGTATATTGTCGTCATCCCCATACATTGATCCATTTTCCACAATATTTTCATTAGATAAGAAGGGCTGTTGATTTTCAATGATTTGCAATAATTACTTCCATGTCCTTGCCATTTACTACTTTGATAAAACATGTCGATGATAAAGTAATATTTATAGATATTATTTTATATTCATGAGATGAAGAAGCCTTTGATTACTTTCAGAGTTATTGCCCTTGGTCACTTACATTTCATTTCCTTGTCTACTTTAACCAGATGGCAAGGTTGCTGGTGAGCATATGCATATGATTATTGTCTGACAAGACTTTGTTGTTTTTCAAATTATGTATCATAGTTTTATTATCTTTGCAGGAGCATACAAGAGTCATCTGTTCGTGTTGAGGTTAGATCTTGGACCACATGATGAAGTTCCAGAAACTTTTGAAGAAACTTGTCACGTTCATTTTACCATGCCATCAAGTACCATTTCTAAAACACAAGTCCGTTCTGTATCGGTGGACAATCCTAATCCTCCGGAAAAATGGGTTCGCTATATCGCTAAATATACATACGAAGTCGAAATTGAGACATCTATTGAGTCGTCTGAGCAGGATGGCAGTGATTGATTGGAACCTTACATTAAATACCAGCGACTGGACAACTGAATAATCTCGCCTACATTATCTGTAAAGGTTATTTAGGCCTAAATTTGTGTTTTATATTTCACAAAAAAAGAAAATTGTATGAGGAATAGTTTTTCTAAGCTGTGATGGTACAATTTTCAATGTAAAAGTAGAATAATTCACCTCTTTACCTATCTGTAGTAAGCTCGAAATCCTTGCATTATAGATGGGTCAGTCCGTTTAGTCAAAAGAATTCATTATAAAAAATCATGATAATAATAATGGTGTTACATGTACAGGTAGGTATAGTATTTGACTACAAATGAATATTGTATTGTAAAAAAAAAACATAAGTTAGTTACATGTAGGTTTAGATTGTAGTTACACAGTGATGTTGGCTTTTGGTTTTTTTTAGAACGTTGACATTAACTTAAATCAAAATATAAATGGTAGTTATTATATCAGTTAGAAGTTTGCATTGAATGTTGCAGTATTTGTGAAAATAAAAATTTACCAGTGATCTAGAATGATAAATGAATATTTGTACAAACGGGAATCATTCAATGATATTTCTCAGTAAATTTGTTTTTGTATGAATCAATAGTATTAGAATAAGTGTGTGTGATATATCCTTTCACTTACAAATATGTAAATAGCACTATTATGTTACATACTACAAAGTACACCCATTTAGAATTTAGATAGATATCCCCAATACTCCTTGTAGATAGATGTATGACAAGTAGATCCTATGCAGACTTAAATTGAATTATAGAATAGTGACATGGAATATGTCTGTTTCGTTTCCATGGTAATATTGATTGACTTTTTACTATATATGGCAGTTTGAGTGCCATTTAATATCTATGTGTGATTTGTATGTTTTATTTGTGGTTGTGAAAAGTGTTTTTTAAACCACTTCAGTTGATCTAAAAACAGGAAATTATAATAATCGGATATGCCATGCATTTAACACACTGCACTAATCTGACAATATTTGCATAATTTCCAGATCATAATTTGAAGAAGATTGTCATGTATTTTAGGATGTTGGTAGTTGACATAATATACATGTATGATGTAAAATGTATGCCTTTGTTGATATTCAGTTAAATTCATAATGATGGTATTATTATAATCTTGGTCATAGATCTGTTAATAAAATCCACCATAAATCTGTTGTCTTTAAATGCATTTATGCAATATTCAAATCAAAGTTTGTTCATAGTTTAATTTGATTTATTATTCAAATTTATGCATGAATGTTACTTTTGTACTATTGTCTTCACAAAGCATCCCATAAAATTAATTAAAGCCACTGGTCGTCATTTGCATGTTTTTGAAATTTTACTGCTTAATGCATGCTACTAAAATTGATTACTAAATATTTTATTAACAAAACAAAATGAATTATCAACAATAGATATTGGATTCAGTTAGATGGAAATCAGGTCCATGAAAGATTTCTAAAACTGTAGGAAGAGCTGGCTTGCTTTGAAAATTCCTCTCTATATCATCTGCCAAAGATGCCTAACATTAACAAATTTTCAATTCACCATATCTTTCTAAATACTGAACGGAATTAAACCATTTTTGAATCAACATTTCTTTTAGAGCTCCAACTTTCAGATTATTATAGTTTGCAATCTCTCATACAAAAACAATTTCTATAATAACACGCAAATTCCTGAATCTCTTGATATCCTTGATCTTCTAATTTTGTCTTCTCATTTTAAACTTAGTTTGTTAATATTGTATAACATTCATTTATTGTGTATTACATGTCACAGATGCATGATATTTCTGTTTCAACAAAGTGTAGAATTTGTTTAATTTTAATTTATGTACTGTAAACAAAAGTTAAAGTCAGTTATCTGTACAATAACTTTGAAACTACACATGTAATTCTTTTTTTACAATAGATTGATTCCAACTTGTTAAAGAAATTGAATTAAATTCACACTTTTGTAATCAACCAAAATCAAAGAGGTTATGTCATTTTAAGTACTAGCTACGGTGTTTGATCTTTTAATGGAAATTATTATATTCTCATATTTAAGAATGTATTTGCATTATATGTGAAAATATTTGAAATATTATTACTGTACATCTTAAAAATTTAATTGATACTATGATACTAGCTGTTTTTACAATGTAATTCAATAATTAATATATGTTAACAAATTAATTTTATTTGCTGTTAATGTACTCTTTTTTTTTTCTTTTTATTCATCAAGTTTTAAGAAAAAACTTCATCTGTGATATTACTCAATTTAATTAATATATATTCATTTAATTACTTCATATCATTCTAACATCATTCTAATTTGTATTAATTTGTAATAATTTTAATATAATCGTTGTCAGTATTGTTTATATGTATTTATATATTTAATTAAATATATCTAGTGCTTTCTGTTTACTTTTTGTGAATATCTATGATCAAAACTTTATGTTAAGCATTTTTGAAGAGATTCTGTAATTCAGGTTAGCAAACTTTTTTTAAAATGAATTTCCTGAAATATGCTGAAATATAATTTAGTATACTGTTTAATTAATTTTGCCAAAGAGTATTACGAAACATGTAAAGGGAGGCAATACAGTTTTTACTAAACCTTTTCACAAAAAAATGTCATTATATCTTTATTAATGTCTTGTTTTAATTTGATCAAACTTTTGTTCATCTTACAGTTAATTTAGATTCACCTGCTGTCAGGTGATGGTTTGTGAAAATTTTCCAAAGAAAATTATATTGTTGATTATTGTTTCTAGCAAGCGTATATAATAACCTACTTTGTTAAACTGAAATATTAAAGATGGGTTCCCGGGTACAAACTGGGTGATTTAATGGTATATATGGACTAAAGTTATATTCAAACTAATTAATTTGTCATAATTATGCTTCAAATCCTTCTCAAACATTGTAATTGCGAAGGAATGCCCTGCTATTAAAATTCGATCAAACTAGGTCATGGTTACGTCACGTCTTGTAAGTCAGAGGAGAATTCATTGCATACATAAGACGATGTTGTCTTTAATCGCTTACTATTTATTACAAATATCGAATCCTAATTAAATTCTCGGATTATTATCCACTACCCGCGTCTTTTTCCGTCATTTTTATCTCAGAAAGTGTTGTACGTCTAACTCTTCATGGCGTTTATCAACTTGTACATCAAGCGCTCAATGTTCGCGTGTGACCTTTGACATCACGCGTGCAGAAATTCTTAATCGTCGGGCTGTTGATTAGGGGAACCCTTACATTTTTGTCCTGTATACTCTCCATGACTGTTTTTCGGCGAATCCAGTATTTTTCTAGTAAGATTGGATATCTCTACTTTCCATATATACCAAAATTGTCATACTTTTATTGGAAATAACCACCCGATAAATACTTTTCTGGGAACCCATCTTTAAGGAATGAAAATAATATATTATGTTGAATTTTATTTTTGTTTGATCAATTATGTGCAATAAAATGACAAACATTGTATACTATAAGTTTAAGAGTAAATTGTGTTTATATCAAAGGATAATGAAATCTTTCTAAATAATATCATTTTAAGATTTATTAATACTCAGAAGAAAAAAAACAACCACTGTAGTTGTTTTCATTGTTGAATTTTTCTCAATAGTCGCATTTATTGTTTTGTTGTTGAATTTATTTTTAAGATATTATTAAGTTGTTTGTTTTTTTGCTGTATTTTTATTTGTAAATATGTGGAAATCAAGGATTTAGAAGTCTAATTGAAACATAGATTTTTTGATTTTTTGTGCATGTTGACAAAATTAATGTTGATTTCATTATTGAAAGTTACTCATGTTAATAAAATGTCAAATAGTTCATACCAAAAACTAAACTAATAGATTGGCCAGTACAAAATTTTACAAAATTATTATCTACCAAATTTATGATATATTTCAGAGAATATGTCTTTAAAAAAGAAGAGTATTTAGGTATATAATGTTTAGAATATATTGTTATTATATATTAATAAGTGTTACCAAAGAAAATATTTGGGTCATTAAATTCTATACACAACATTTACTGGTATTTATTTTTTTGACATTTGATAATTAAAATAGAATATCTATGATTTAATTAGATTGAATAGTAATGAGAATTTGAATATATACCTCAACCTTGGAATCAGGTATTGTTTCAATGGGCAGATAATTACAGTATTGTTTTATTATATAGCTTATTTCTACAATAGACTGGCTTTATTAAATATTAAGCAGTATCACATCAAGCTTACAATAAACATATGTTATGATATAAGATGACAATAAGATTATTATTTTTTTTACATACTGGCATGTTGATGGTTATTCATAACACATAAAACTGTTTTGGTTTTCATAGGGGAACAGTATGGCACCTGAATATGGATTGTATTGAGATCTGGACTGGATTCTATACTAAAACAGCTGCCCCAGATTTCATGGGGTATTTGTTGATGCAAATGGTTTTAATATGCAAATCCCATGCCAAAATGTAACTTTTCCTGTCAAAGTATTGCTTAAAAGGGTTACTTAATCTTTAAGTAATATTCTTCCATTCTTTGAACATTCTTTGAACTGCTAAACATGACTACCATTTGAACTTCGAATACATGTACATGTAGTTGCATGGACTCAAGGATAACAGTTTCTGAGGGCCTTTCATATAGAATTTAAGTTCCATTCTCTAAATGCATCTTCGACATACCCTTTGAATAGTTTCTGGAATGTATTGGTATGACATAATAGATTGATTCTTGGGAATTTTGATATATATTTTTGAATATTTTGGCAATTAAATTAAATTATTGTCATCATTTTTGATGAGTAAGTTTCTCTTAATAAAATTTAAGTAAATGTATGTCCACCACAACTATTTATATTAGACCTATAAACTTAGATAAACATAATTTTTTTAGTGAAAGTTGTACTAATGAGTTATATACATGTATGGTATAATAAAAATATCTATCATTAAATATTATAATGTATGTATATGATAATCACTGTATCATTTGAGTCTACATGCACCTTAAGGTTTTATCAATTTACCTTGCCTTTAGTCTGTAGAGGAGAGATTGTTCAATAAAATGTTCTATAAAATAACTAGAAATTTTATTTCCATTGTTCAGTGAGTAAGGTTGAAATCCCAGGTTTGATCCTGGTGTTGACTGAGAAAGTTCATCAGGATTTTCTGGCTTGGTTTCCCTGATGTCTCTGGTTCAGTAAACAGAATGGACGAAAAACCGAGGTACTGTGCACACATTGGTGTAATAGAACCTTTCACAGCTGGAATTCGAAATAAAAGTAGGCCATAGTGCTGATGTCTGGGCAAAATTTCCCTCTTAGCACACTGCATGGTATATATGCCCGTCTTCTTTGGCCCAGCTGGAGTAGAACATGATTGCTTGGACATATCAAAGGGGGGTAATTTGAGTCAGTCATCAATGTGCCGGAATAATACCTAAACCAGCAATGTATTTTGGTTAATACATGTATATAGATAGAATTTACTCTAAGCCTAGTGTATTAAAAAATGTATCTTTTTACTTTCCCCACTCGCTTTTGTGACTAAAAGAAAAGTGCCAATTTTCTCTGATGATACATAAACCAAAATTCTTGCGGACCAATCAAAAATTTGTTTACATTATCCAGTTTCTTTTTTTATTGCTTAAAGGACAATATGGGTGTCAGTCATTATCACATATGTGATGAAACTGGTTAAACACATTCCAAATATAACTTTAACACAGAGATCATTGCTACGATAGATGCGAAATGAAGGGAAATGAAGGAACAAAAGAAAACACAAGTTATGCTTCAATATAACTGACTTAAGTGACGAGTGGTAACAGATACATGGGCAAATTTTTGCTCACTATTGTTGTTATGTGAGACTGAGAGGATATCTGACAACTCAAAAAAGTAATTCAATTTCACTCGATAAGAGAAAACGAAAAGAATAGAAATAGTCTGTACATTCCCTTGTTTTTATATGCCCACATTGAAATGTGGTCGTATATTGTCGTCGCCCCCGTCCGGCCGTCTGTCCGGTGTGGACGCTCTAGAGGCTAAAGTTAATATCTGATTGACTTTAAATTTATACACAGTGTTTAAGGTCTTGAGACGAAGAAGCCTATTGATTTTCAGCGATTTCCCATAATTACTGCCAGAGTTATGGCCCTTGATCACTTCAAAAAATCTTGTGAACGCTCTAAAGGCCAAAGTTAATATCCGATTGACTTTAAATTTATACACAGTGTTTAAGGTCATGAGACGAAGAAGCCTATTCATTTTCAGCAATTTCCGATAATTACTGCCAGAGTTATGGCCCTTGATCACATCAAAAAATCTTGTGGATGCTCTAAAGGCCAAAGTTAATATCCGATTGACTTTAAATTTATACACGGTGTTTGAGGTTATGAGACGAAGATTCCTATTGATTTTCAACGATTTCTGATAATTACTGCCAAAGTTATGGCCCTTGATCACTTTGCAAAATCTTGTGATGCTCTAAAGGCTAAAGTTATAATCCGATTGACTTCAGATTGATACACAGAGTTTAAGATCTTGAGACGAACAAGTATATTGATTTTCAATGAATTTTTATGACTTGAACAGTTAAATCCATGATATTAAAAGCTTTGCATACAAAACGTTAGCATGGGGCAGAACTTTATAAAAACCAAACAAATTCTAATAGTTTTCTGATAATTACTTCGTGAGTTGTAGCTCTTAATCAGATTTGAGTGTATTATAAATGTTTCATTATAGAAAAAAGTAAAAATATGCGACAACCCTTGTTGACTGCCCGGACGATTTAGTTGCTGTGGGCGTATGTTTCGTTGCCTAGTAACCTATCTTTATTCATTCTATTTAATAAAAACATGGTAATGCACGGACTTAACCAGTTCTATCACATTTCCTTTAATACATGGTCTAATATTGAAAAATTTGCCAGACACGATGCAACACTTCATACTATTTGACCCCCAACCATTTTATCGTTTGTGAAGAATATTAAAAATGTAATCTTTAGAACCACAAAGAGCCCTACATGTCACAACTATCTGATAAAGATATTGACACATATCAGTTTGTTTAGGGTTTTTTTGCTACGCCTAGTCAAAGGAATCATTTTTGTATGTGATTCCCCTAATTCATGTCTTTATCCTTCCTAACCAAAATGTCATGAAAAATTACCAGCAAAGTAGGACAGCAGGAAGAAAATGTGGTGGAATTTAATGTTGGCCTGCATCCATCCGTATTAAATGGAGTTATCGCCCTTATATTACTATCCTGGAGACAAACTTATTCAAGCAATACACAAAAACACATACTTATGGAAAAAACAGCTACTTATTTATTTGGGCGACGTTTCGAAGAGTATTCTCTCAACGTTATCAACGTTAGCCTGATAACGTTGAGAGAATACTCTTCGAAACGTCGCCCAAATAAATAAGTAGCTGTTTTTTCCATAAGTATGTGTTTTTGTGTATTGCTCTATCCAGTTACTAAATGCCTCTAAAAGATTAAAACTTATTCAAGGTTATTGAAAGAGTTATTGCTTCTCAAATTTTAAATTATCTGTCTGAAAATGATTTACACGAATTGCTTCAATCTGCTTACAAACGAGGTCACAGCACAGAGACGGCTATACTTAAAAACGATATTGACCTGGCACTGGATAGGAATCTAGCTGTGCACCTAGTGCCTTTGGATCTCTGTGCTGCTTTTTATAATATAGATCATGGTATTGTTTTTCAAAGGCTGGGATGTTCAGTTCGGATCTGTGGGGCCGCACTGTCATGGATAAAGTCATATCTTCAAGACAGAACACAACAGGTGCATTTAAACAGGTTTGTATCTCAACCATGTGTTGTTACAATATGTGTTCCACAAGGATCTGTATTGGGACCTCTTTTTCTCTTAAACATTTCTTTCAATTGATCAAATCATAAGAAGACATGGCTTTGCTGATGACACTTTCAGCACAACAACTATCTTGCTTCCAAGGATTCTATCAGTAGACTAGGATCTTGTCTTAATGTCATTCGAGGATGGATGACCAGAAATAGGCTAAAACTTAACATTGACAAATCCGAATTTTTGGTCATATCATCGAAATCACAATCTACTAAATTGTTTAAAGCAGATTCCATTCAGATCGGTGATTGCTCTATATCCCCCACGAAGCAGGCTAAAACCCTTGGCTATGTGACCGATGAATTTATGTCCCGAGTTCCCCAAATCAATAGTATCATACGGAAAATGCATCTTTAAATGAGAGCTATTTCGATAGTACGCTCTAATCTTAATACTGATGCTTGTTAGAGCATTAGTAACATCGTATATGGACTATAAGCCAATTCACTTTTATTAGGAGCACCAGAAACAGCTTTAAACAGACTACAAAACAATGCTGCACGTCTCATAACTAGAACACGAAAGTTACAGAAACTCCATTGGCTTCCAGTTTGATCGAGGATTCAGTTTAAAGCACGTGTGAATGTGTTAAATCAATTTATTCTGACACTGCACCCAGTTATTTAAAATAACTCTTTGATTTCTATACTCCCCGACGATCCAACCTTCGTTGTTCAGGTGATCGTAGCATTTTGAGGATTCTTAAATATAATAAACGTTCTTGTGAATATGCTTTCTCCGTCAGAGCAGCCAAAATGTGGAATGATCTTCCAAAAACTCTCCGAGAGTCCTCTTCCATCCAGAGCTTTAAGATTAACTTAAAAACATTTATTTCAAAATTATTTTTGAACTGTTTTGTTGTGAATGCGCTTAGAAACACCCATGTGTAATGAAGCGTTATATAAATCGAACAACAATAATATTAATAATAAAAGTTAGTTGTCCTCGATTGTTACGTGGTCGGTTTATTGTTGAATGTGTTCACTCAAGTATTGTTCTAGCTCTAAACAGATCTCAATAACCCCACGTGGACGACACGCTTCAATTAGCATGTGTCAAGTGTACGGTAAACATAGACGACCGATTTTGCTGCACTATTATATATCAACATTTAATTCGAGCCACATGTTTACAAATTTTAAATCAAGCAATGTATTATGTAGCCTGTTCATATTAACAATAATAAACGCTTAAGGTAAGTGATATTTGAGGAGTGTATTTGAATACCGTCCGGGTTGTATATTGTTAACTTGTTTTCGTTCTATTTCATTGAGTTTATGCTTGAGATATTACACTGCAAGTCGTATTATTTGTTCACGATATGCCAAATTAGAGAGACTTACAGTTTAGGCCTTTGAGCTACAGGTATGTAAATATTATAAATGGGAGTATAAGAAAATCGTACATTTATACCCCCATATCTTATAACTTGTATTATGTGTTAAAATGTTATATCATTCTTATTGGCTTTTATAAAATACAAGGCTAGTTTTAGTCAATTCATATTTCTGTATTGAAACACTGTATAGCCAAAGCTGGGTTGACGTTTTGTAAAAAAAAAACACTCAGAAAGTATTGCTGAACCAATCTACCATTCCCCACCGAGAGCCCTGAGGATTTTGGTCAAACGAACAAGGTACCAATATCGAGAGATGGGGAGGGACTTCAATAGTGAAATAGCTAGGGCTTCTCTTCATATAAATCCGACTCTGGTTAGATGAGAGGTGAGGTCATGTCAGTGAAAATAAACTTCTCAGAGATATGTTGTTATGCTGCACCAAAGTGTAAATGTAAGCCACATAAAACATGAACAGGTTCGTCAAGTTCCGGTCATGAACGGCTAATTATGGTCACAAATGAACCGTCCACAATAATACTGAGACGTAGAACGATACGCTCCCGTGTTGAACAGTGTAAATCGTCGGTAATAAATATACACTGAAATTTTCCTTGAAACTGTTTAATACCGGGAAACATAAAATATCACATACACAAAACAGCACGTCCGACAGACAGAGTGACTGACCTGGAAGCGGGATAAAAACCTAGAATGTTGAATGAATGTACAATTCGGTATTTAAAGAACCTAGTAGTTAAGGATTAAATAAAATATACACAATTAACGAACGTATAGGTAACAATAAAACATCAAAGACAATAATTACAAATAATAGAAATAATAAGGATTAAATTTATCATACATTCTAAACTATTAATGAGTTGGCTGTCCACCATCGGTTATCAAGTTACAAGATTAATGGCTTCAAGTATAATCGGTATTTAAAAAAATCTATTGAAATTTGAATAAAATCGGTGGCTTTTCTGAGTGTGGGTACCTAGTGGCGTGTGTATAGGATTAGTCCACTTACTTTGCAAAAATAAAATTGGCGAATCAACAACTAACCTGCCCAGTCTGCCCTTGTTCCGTTTGGGACTCAGGGTATCTGGGTCCCGGTAGGTAATCGGGGCCAAGTCCCGACCTGTAGTTCATGTTTTTGGTATGCCATATGTTGTGTTAAATCTCTGTTTAAGTGACCCCCCCCCCCCCCCAATTATCCCAGATGTATGCCAAAACATCTTTCAAAAATTTTCGAGCCCGGGGGAAGAGAATCTCTCCGGAAAACCCGGCCCACACCCACCTCCTTCGCCAAGTTGCTTGTCCCACGGCCCGAAGGGCCGTGTCGCGAACCCTGACTGTTGGGGTTTGTTTTTGTAAATATATAACATCGCTACATTGATAATCCGCTTAAATTATTTTTTATTATGACAAGCTTTATCTTGTGTCCGATCAATTTTCCTGATCTAAACCTTTCAAACCTGTTGAGTATGGAAGAGTATAGGGGTCAATAGTGCGAAAGTTAGCAACATATAATGTCTACATATAATAGTGATTGTTGCGATGATTTTATCACTCAAAAGACAGTTTTTGCCGAGTTAATTTTACTAACGCGCTATGTTGTATGTCGCCATTTGTTTTTAAATCCGCACGTTTGCGTTATGATAGTACTCTTCAGAAATTTTAGCAACATATTCCATTATCACCGTGCGCTATATCGACATATACTACCGCGAAATGGAATATGATGACAATGCTTCAGGATAGCAATATCGTAACGCAAACGTTTACATTTAGAAAGAAATGACGACATACAACATGGCGTATTGATTCAATTAACTCAACAAGAATGATTTTTTTAAGATTAAAATTATTTCAACAATCACAATATCTTGACATATTACCATATTAATATCGCGGTATCTTCGTGATATTGACCCCTATACGCTTCCATATATATGCGAAATCTTTAGTCACAAGCTGATCAAGTTAAAAACCCCTTGGTGTAAAGGGGTCCTATATACAATCAGGAGTTAAAACTGGTACAAGTATCGGCCTTCTTTCCGGTCAGCAGGTATGCTCCCTTTTCGGAAAAGCTTGTGAACATGATAATTACTAGATTTATATGGCATGGCTTCATTTATAGATATCTGCACAAACCCGGAAACAGTAATGCTAGCTAATTTATATTTATACATTTGCAAAAATTAATTATACATGAGTGTCATCAAAGATTTGTTTAGCTAGGGGGTATAAATTGCAACCGATACGTGTATTTCACGTGTCCTTGATAACTATAATTTTGTGTCTTAAATAAGGTTGATTATATACTTAGGCGGGACAAGTTAATCTCAAAAGTGGAGTGACCCCTAACAAATTGCAAAAGAAACCAATGCAGTTGGGTTTAGTCATGCTTATATCAGGCAACATCATACCCGAATTCGGCCGAAGTCAGCCAATGCGAAATGACGTAATTAACATAATTCTCTATAGAATGTTTCTGAGATCGATGTCTGGTAACTAGTGCGTTTTAGTGATTGGACAATAAATATCTATATTTTTAAATCTTACAATTCAAAGTGGTTATAGAGGCAAAATGTTCCGCAAAAAAACCCCAAACAAATTTGATCAAAACAATTATATAAAAAGTCTGACAATTTGGTAATAAAATGGCATTGTCCCCGTTTTTAACCAGTCACTATCTCGTAAGATATGACTTTTACTATGTCTTTTATATGATTTTCGATGTCTGAATTTGAAAATGAATTTGAAAATCCAACTTGGCAGAAATTCAAAGTGGAATCCAAACTTTTTATCAATCATCATTTTCTTCGTTGGATATGGCTTGTACTATGTCTTATATAAGTTTTTTGAGATTACGTTGAATAGCCCAGGTGGTGTAAATTTAAAACGGTAATCGAAATAATAATAATGAATTTGTATCGCGCCTCCCATCTATAACGGCGATTTCTTTAAAATATATCTAATAAGGTTTTCATGTTTACAGAATTATATTTTGGTTTTAAAAATAAATTTAAAAAATACAAACATCTATTTAGCAGTTTTTTTAGGCATTTTCTTCATTTGGTATGCCTTTGCACCATCTTCACCGGGGTTAAAAGTGGTTTCGAAATATCTATTTAAAAGTTTGCGCACTAATATATATATGTTATGCGATCCTTGTTTACAGCCCTTGTAGTATCAATTCCAGAGATGGGCCGAAAAGGAGTATGGTAGTTTCAGGGGTCCCTAAATCAGTTAATGTTCTTGCGTAGTTCGGGACCCCCTTTTACGTTCTGGGCCCTTATTCACGAAAACTTAAACTAAGTTACAACCGAAATTTTAAGAAATACTGCAACTTCATTGGATATATGCAAATTGATTTTACTGGTCAGCCAATCGAATTGCAGTATTTCTTAAAATTTCGATTGTATCTTAGTTTAAGTTTTCGTGAATAAGGGCCCTGTTTGATGAATTGTTAAGATTGACGCAGAAGCTAGAAACACCAGGATATACTGCAGAAAGCACCATTTACAATCACAGAGTGAACCTCTCCCGGAGCAAGGATCAGGGCCTTTAGTCCGTCCCTGATATCGTATTGACTGATTCATTTATGAAAATACACATTTAAACAAATTTAAATATAGCCTACCATCATCTGTAGCACTTTCTCCTCGAATAAACCTCAATTGTTTATTGGAATTTTAGATTAAACGGAAACGTTTGTTCACCTTAGCAATTAACTGAGAAGGATGGCATTCTCTCGTGGCTCATGACTGGTACAAATAAAATTTGTAGAACTAGATATTTGATGTCAGGACACCTATTTCACACAAAGCCTCCTTATTTTTTTTATCCATGCAGACCTTCCATATAATAATCTATCTGCATAAAATGGCTGTGAAAATACACATTTAAACAACATTTAAATATGGTCTGACACTTGTAGCACTTTCCCCTCGGACTAAAAATAAATTGCTTATTGGAATTTGCATGTAGCTATAAAATACTCGAACAATATACCAATTGTTAATTTATATAATAATTTAAGGACTACCATGTAATACGGAAATGTGTAACCATGTCTTTCTACACGATCTAACAATAAATTGGATAATCGGAAACATTATTATCATGTATAATTATCATTTAATATGTAGTATTTTACTGATAATTAAAGTAAGCAAGTAATGCGGAAATTTGCAACACGTTTTAACACCATGTCTTTCCTCTCACTTTTCAGCGATGTACTGCAAAGGAGTATGATAGTTTCAGGGATCCGTACACTAGTTAATGTTCTTGCGTAGTTCGGTTTCCCCTTTTAGTCACGATTTTACGCCGTTCTTGATGAATTGTTAAGATTACCACACGTTAAATATGCATAAGCTTTAAACACCAGAATATACTCTAGAAAGCACCACTTACTGTCCGTTTTTCAAAAGAAGGATCGCGTCTGACAAATGTATCATTGAACCAAACTTTATTTGTTTCTTTTGCAGTTTGTTTCGGGTAAAAAGTTATCCCTCCCCGTCTGACTATGAAATGTGACTTTTTGAGATTGGTCACCATCTTAGTTCAAGAATACAAATCGAACATTAACTTAACTAGAATTTAATATGAACACCTGATATGCAAAACCAAATAGCTCTTTAATCAGTGTTCTTAATTCTTAGTTCTTAATTCATAGTCCGTAATTCTTTTTTCTTCATTTGTTGTGTACTTTGACATTTATACACTAAAATTAACTCTGTATCTTAAACTCAATGTTTGTTTTACAAATCAGACATTTGTCATAACAGATTTGTAAATTGTATTTTGTTTAATTTAATTATATTTTAATATAAAGATAACATGTATTTTAGAAAATCGAAAAATTACATTTACATTTCATCAGAAACATATAACGAACAAAAAATCTCGAACAACAAATTTCCAAATACAAATCTCCAAATACCAATCTTGCCAAATCGCTGTTAAAAATCCCCAGGTCTCCAAATTGATCTAACCTGAACATTATGACGACAGATCATGCTAGTGGTGAGCCGAAATCCACCTGGCATACAATAAGTCACCATAGAATAATGGGGAATTGAGCAAGCATACAATAAGAGAAATCGCTCGATGGCCGTGACGGTAGTGAAATCACGTGCGTGGTATATGGCTAATCCATAGAGTTACGTTTCTAATATATGTATGGACTAATCCGAGCCATCAATAAATAAAATAATTAGTAATTAGGTTATTTTTCGAATGTGCCTGAAAATAACTATTACTCGTATATTGGTCATGTCGCCAATGTGGGGTCCGAATGAAAATTCATACATATCAAACGAAAGACGATTTCATCTCTTCCATATTGTGTAACTATGAAGAATGTGTCAGGAATTAACTAATAGGCTACTCGTATATGGGTAATTCCACAAATATGGGGTCCGAATCAAAATGACCAATTGTTGAAAAAAGTGATTGATCATGTAATATATTTATTATTTTATACTTATTTACTTTTAAGATATTCAAAATCGTTTTGCGGTTAAATATTTCAATGGTGCAATTCCTGGTGTCCCTGATTTTTTTTGTTACGTTTTGGGGACATACTGTACTTCACAGTTTAACAACTGGACCATGTTGAACACAAGGTTAATATTTCCAGATATTTTCACAAAACAAGCAGCAGAGAATCTAAGATTTCGTTTACTAATTTTTCAATTCTAAACAAATGGTAAGTAATCTCAATAGGAGGATTTTCAATCACGCCCTACAACGTAAATTTTTGTATCCCTAAAATTTACGTTGTATTAGTGTCATTATAAGCCACGATCTTACTTTGAAAAATCAAAACAAAATGTTTCATCTTAATTCTATTTGAAGTGGAAATAAATAACAAATTCCGAAACGTAATTAGACGTATTGGAAATTCGAGTCCCTCGTTTATTTTACAAAGTGCTTGTTTATGACAATTGTAACGCCATCTATTTGCTGTGAAATACGCCAGAGCGAGATGCTTAGTTATGGTCACACGATAGACATACCTGAAGCAGACGATGGCCCGGCGAATGGATATTTTCTGAATAAGTTCTAATCAAAGTTTAGCGTAGATATTGAAAGTTATAATTGCGGGGTCTAAACAACAGTATTCTTTCATAAAAGAAAGTTATCGCTTCCTTGGTGTAACCAATGCTACCTTATTTTCTTTGCTTTCCTGTAACATGCCAACAATTTTGAAATGTTACCTTGCTCTTTTCAATACTTTTGGTTCATTTTTTGGGGGGAAACACGGATTCACAACGAAAGCTATTGAAAGAGACACAACCAATTCTCAAAGTCGGGTACTCATTTTGATTGTTGAAAGTGTTATAGGAGTAAATACTACATAGCATGGTATGATTAAATTATAAGCAATTCATCAACATTTGCTGTCCCTTTACATGTAAAACTGCAATCCTCAGTATCACAGCATACCTTTCCATGTTGAATTTTCACGTTACTGATTTAAAAGTTGTTCATATGGATTGTTCACGTCAAACAAACTTCAACAATTTGGTAAAATCTTTATTTTATTTTTTTAAAAAATCCACAGAGACTGCCCAGTTTGTATCGAGAATATGAGAATATCCGTGTAATCGACATTGGCTGGCTAGAGGTGTTGGCACAAACATACATGCTTAGACTTCTAATAATGAAGGTGTCTCAGTTGAATAATAATACATCATAAACGCATTAGTATTTCTTATACATGCACAGAAATTGAGCATTAAAAGTCTATTTTGGTGTCCCTTTACACGAGAAAACTGTAATAACTTGTCATATAAAAGCGTTCATATCTTTTCTTTGAAACTCGACAATGAGAAATCACCAACTGTCCCTCAAATGGCTTACATTACTCCTATTATTGGTATAATTTGGGATTACTTAAAATTTTAGTTTCTAAGTCACACATTGGACCCCACATTAATGGAGTAAAAATACTTTCCGGTAATGCATTACATGTTAACTGGAATTTCGTATTTTGATTAATACCCCCCCCCCCCCTTCACTAAATCTAATTTTTTTTATCAAGGTACGGAAATATGAAGGTGCCAGAAAATATTTTTTAAATATTTCCTACTGGAAAGTACTTTTATTACCCTTTTCAACCTATTTTCAGACACATTCACATTTACGTGTCTTGAAGACAGATCAAATTTGGGTTGAACTGAACTCTATTTAGTGAAGGGGGGGGGGGGGGTATTTAATAGTTAAGATATGGCTTATCGTGTAATGCATCACCGGAAAGTATTGTTCTATCGCTTGTTCAATATATGTTTTTCCCTGGTACATTGATGATTACATAATTAAGAAGAGCTAAAACACTCTTTCGTTTGAGCAAAGAAATATGTCGCTATCAGTCAAGAACCTAATTACTTAAAATATACAACTTTCAATTTATTTTCTTTATCAAAGGCTCGGTCGAATTAGCCATACCACACACGTGATTTCACTACTGTCACGGTCATCAAGCGATTTTTCTTATTGTATGCTTGTTTGATTCCTCATTAATTTTGGCTAACCACCCGTCCTCCATCGTCATAATGTTCAGATTAGATGAATTTGGAGATATGTATTTTGATAAAGGTTTTGCAAGATTGATATTTGGAGATTTGTATAAGGAAAATTGTTTGAGATTTGTTTTTGATGAAATGTAAATGTTTTGTCTTCCATAATATCACTTAACGTTTATTTACAATAAAGACCGGCAGTTGTGAATTCAAAACTTCTAGTTTGAATTAAAAGCGCAGGTGTTTATAATGATGCATTCTGTCTTACATTGTCAATAACTCCCAAATGAGACAACTGAACGTTTATATCCATTGCTGGATATGGGGTTAATTAAAGTCCTGATCTAAGTTGCTATTAAGCCTTTCGACAAGAACCAATATGCGTGTGTAGTTGTGCTTTGTTTATTTAACATAACGAAATACATAATATGATTTCAAATATTTTATGTTTATATTTTACAGGTAATTGACTGAAAACACATCAACAAATACAATACAGGTTTACTTATATGGGAAAAACAACAAATTATGTATTAAATACAAAATGTCATCGCTAAGATGAGAAATCACAAACTGATTCCATCACATTGTGATACCAAGAAATACCAGCGTCCTGTAGTCATGTTGAATAAACACAGTCACAGCTTCGCACTATACATTTGTTATTTTGGATGTTTCCAGTATTTTGTTGCTATATTTTAATTACTTCTGTGAAAAGCCTACAAATGGCAACGAACAGTCGCGTTTATCAGGTCATAAACCTCTTATAAACTGTTTTGGCCATCAGCCCCCAATTCTAAGTCGCCTTGTGATGTTTTCACCAATTAAAGCGGAATTCTAGAGCGGAAGTCGGTAACACATCTACACGGAATTCATGATGACTTTGTATGTTATCACCAGGATCTAATCTAATTCGCTAGTGATTCATTGGAAAAAGGGGAAAATTACTCATGGCCATTATTGAAATTGATTACAAGTGGTTATTGCAACTGGGCATACCGATGAGCGATGTGGATATATAGCTAATAATGGTATAATATTATCAAGGATATTCGTAGTGGACATGTTAACCTCAACGAAATTCACGTTATAATTTAATTCAGAATTATAAGGTTCTAGAACAATTTCAACTAATACTACATTTGTGTCATTTTTCTTTTTGTGAAGTCCAAATTAAATGGTGTTTATATAGTTTTTACGAAGTGGGTTATGAAATGGCATGAACATCGCTTAAAGTTATTTTGGATCATGGAGCTAAACGAAACTTTAGTTGACGCAAATTACAATTCCACTTTATTGTACGAACTTAATCATGCCCGTATGATTTTTAATATACCGGTCATTGTGTTTTTGTTTATCAATATGTTTGTTGGCGCCATGGGTAATATACTGGTAATAACAGTTTACATATTTTTCTCAGAACGGACCGTAGCTACTTATTATATCTCAATCGTAGCTTTTATAGACATGGTGTCTTGCTGTTTTTGTCTTCCGTTCCAGATTTACGATTTGTGGAACCCGTATATCAACTCCTTGTCGACATTATGCCGAATAGACCGTTGGCTCGAAAATTTTACTAATGCTTTAAATGGATTTATTTTAATATGTGTGGCGTCTGAACGCTATAGCAAGATATGTTATCCGTTAGAACCTTACACACGGAGTAAAGCGAAATCTCTGACTATCATAGTTGTCGTCATGGCACTGTCCTTGTCGTGGCCACAACTGATCATAACAGGGAAACAGACTCTTGTAGTTGGAAAGGATAAAATTATAGGAGAAGATTGTTCCTATAATGATTATTTTCAAAACTCTATTTATGTAGTATTATTCCAAGGACTGCTGTTCACAGTTTGGGTATTTTCATTCGTGTCCGCGTTTTTCTTTTATTTCAACATACTAATCGTCATCGTAAGGCGAAAGCGTGAAATGAAGAGTGCTAAAAAAAACCAAACAAATGACGATGCCAACCAATCTCAAATGTCCGCCGTAAAATCTTCGCCTTTTAGAAAGTACGGAAGTGTAAATGGTAGAATCAAAATGAGGTCAAGTAAAACTACTGTGTGCTTGGTGTCCATTACGCTGGCTGCCATTTTATCTTATGTGCCCTTTTTAACTGTTCAAACTGTACGAACTTCCGGAAAGTACTTTCAGACTACAGTAACACCCTCTGGTGAATATTATCATTATGGGAACTCTGCAGCTGTTGATCTGTTATGCACGTTTTGTGTTAAATCGTACCTTTTAAACACTGCTTTCAATCCCATCATATACAGTGTAATGAACCCGAAGTTCAGAGCCAAAGTGCGGTATGCTTTCAGACAAATCATGAATAAATTTAAAGGATGTTTATGCAAAAAGAACACATAATTTTTCATTAAATTACACACATCATATGTATTCTCATTCATATATATATATATATATATATATATATATATTAAAGTAAATAAAGTACAAGTACTTCTTTGTTTACGGTAGATAAATGCATAAATAAAATAAAAAAATCCGTCCAGATAAAAAATTCTCCACTTTACTTCATTCTGACATACATTAAATCATATAAGTTAGCTGTCTGCCTTCTATGGGCGTCTTCAGATATTAATAATGTATACAAAATAAAAACATTCTTAGAATAATAGATTTCCATGACAATGGATTATAAATAATATTAGATAACGTACAACAAACCGACCCGTCGCTCTAACGAAATGCAACGTTTGAATGAATTTAGCAATTGTTAGTAAGGCTTTCTCTCCATAGGCAAAGTAGGTTTAACGTCTTACATTTCTGCACCAACTAGGTTTATGACAAAGGCGCACGTCATTCATTGTGCTAAGGAGGACATGGTTGGTTTATGTACAGGTCAATGTGTACACGGGACCTTCCCACATAACAATATGATGTTAATTTTACGTTACATTTACGTAAAAATGGTCAGTCAGTTTACCATCATTTTGCTCATCTTTTTAACGATAATTTTACGTCAGGAAATGACGTTAATCTAACGTAAACTTTACGTCATTTTTACGTTATATTTACGTCATTTTCTGACGTAAATCTAACGTAAACTTTACGTCATTTTCTGACGTAAATCTAACGTAAAATTTGCGTAAAGTTTACGTCATTTTCGTTAGATTTACGTCAGAAAATGACGTAAACTTTACGTTAGATTTACGTCAGAAAATGATGTAAATATAACGTAAAAATGACGTAAACTTTACGCTAGATTAACGTCATTTCCTGACGTTAAATTGTCGTTAAAAGGATGAGCAAAATGATGGATATCTAACCGATCATTATACCGTAAATCTAACATTAAATTAACATCATTTACGGATGCAATTCTAAAGTCAAATTTTGATGAGCATTAAAACCTTCAAAATTATTCATTATTTGCGGCAGTAAATGGGAAGTACATTCAACCAATAATCAAATTTTCCTGACCCGTGGTTGAGGCTAAAAGTTGAGTGGTCCAACGTGTGCGCTTTAGATCATAAGGTCTGTCATTGAGTCAAGTGGTTTGTTTCCACACCCAACTTGAACATGGGTTTTCTCTGGGTCCTCCTACTACTAAAGATTCCTGGTGCGGATGAATTATTCAACTTGAATTGAATCACTTAGTCCCAAAGGACAGTTTATGTCTATTGGATGTTTTACCCCATTGCTCTCTATCTACCCATAACCAGTCAGAATTCTAAATGTATTGCACAGAAAAGTTAAAAATCTAGCAGAATTATATGACAAAATATACTACAAGTATGTATACATATACTTTATTTAAAAGACAAAAATATAATGTTATAAAATACAAAATACACATTTAAATATTAACAGTTTTTATCCACAGCTGTTTGAGAAATGAAGACGGGCATATGCCACACAGTGTGCAGAGCTATGGCGTACTCTTATATAAAATTCCAACTGCCAAGGGATCTTTCACACACAGACACACTTGAGTTTACACTGTACCTTGGTTTTTTTGTCCCTTCCGTATGACTAGTCAGCCATCCATGTCAGGTCCTCTGTCCGGCATCACTGACACGGGAAAATGTTCAAGAAAAAGGTCTACATTAGCGCTATGAAAGTGTTGATATGCATATAAGAAAGAAAAAACTGGGATATTGACCAAATTGGGCCAAAACCTATAGCCTCTATCTTATTTGCTCAAGGTATTGATGGAATAGAAGTTAACTTTGGAATGAGTGAAATGAAATGGGTTTAATGTCCTATTCCGACAGGGCTAATGACATGGAAATATGCTATACAGTGTCCTATTATGGAATTTTATCCAGACAGCGGCGCTAAAGCCTACTCTTATATCGAATTCAAACTGCCAAGGGATCTTTCACGTGCACACCAATGTGTGCACAGGACCTCGATCATTCGTACCATCCAAACGACTAGACTAGGGAGAATTAACCAAGGAAAGCAAAGTCCTGAAAAGCTGTATATTGATAATGCTTGTCCTCTCACAATCGGAATGATTCACATTTCACACCCAGTGTACGGACAAACAGGGCCAAAATTGATATGTGGGTGTATAAACAAAGATATATACTACACCAATATTACATGTGTTGCAGAATTGGTTTAACACATTTCAAATATAATTGTAACACGGATATTTGCAATGGTTGATCCATGACAAAAGATTTGAAATATTTTGAAGAGACGCAAAAGGTTACGCCATACAGTGTGCTATGAGATAATTTTGCCCGGGCAGCAGCGCTATGGCCTACTCTTGTATCGAATTCCAACTGCCAGGGGATCTTTTATGTGCACGCCAATGTGTACACTGGACCTTGTTTTTTTTTTTGTCCCATCCAAACGACTAGACAGCTGTCTTCGTCAGGCCCTCCGTCCTGCATCACTGACAATGGGAAACCACACCGGAAAATCAGGATGAACTTTCTCGGCCAATGCAGGGATCGAACACCCGACCTCAAGGCTAGCGAGTCAGCGTCTTACCCACTTAGCCACATGATCCCCCCTTGGCCTCTGTACATGTAGAGATGAATTTTGAGCTACCTTTATATATATATTTCTATTTTTAAAACCCGCGACAAGTATATTTATATCAAGGATGTAACCCTCTATCAGTTAACCCGTCACGGATTGGTTGCATTGGTGAACCGGTTCAAAATATTCGTTTCATATCATACCTGACCTTCAAATCCAGGAATTGTAGCCACAACGGGGATCACGTTGGTTGAGTCGGTAAGACACTGGCTATCTAGTCTGGAGGTCGGGTGTTCGATCCCTGCATTGGCCGAGAAAGTTACTCCAGATTTTCGGGCGTGGTTCTCCCTTGTCAGTGATGCAGGACAGAGGGCTAGACAAGACAGCTGTCTAGTCATTAAAATGGGACAAAAAAATGAGGTCCCATGTACACATTGGCGTGCACGTACAAGAGCCCTTGAAGTTAGAATTCGATATAAGAGAAGGCCGTAGTGCCACTGTCCGGGCAAAATTTCCCACATAGCACACTGTATGGCGTATGCCCATCTTCATTAGCCCAGTTCAGAGCAAAACAGTAGGACGTTAAACTTTCATTTCACTAGCCACAGCTCTGTTTTCTTTCAACAAAGGGGGGGGGTGGGTGGGTGGATGGCTTAATGGTTAGCGTGCGAGCGCTGTATCATAAAGTCTGTCATTGAGTCGAATGGCGTGGTTTCGAAACCCCGGTTGTACGTGGCAAGGAGTAGGGTCGCCTGTCCAACCTCGTGGGTTTTCTCCGGGTCCTTCGGTTTCCTCCCACTGCTAAAGACCCCTACGCGCAAGCGAATTATGTAAATAAAAAATTAAACCATATGTTAGTCCCGAAATGACCTAGTTTGTGTCGAGTGGACGGTAAACCCCATTTCTCTCTCTCTCTCTTTCACCAAAGGGGGGGATCAAGTGGCTAAGTGGGTAAGACGCTGGCTCGCTAGCCTGGAGATCGGGTGTTCGATCCCTGTATTGGCCGAGAAAGTTCATCCTGATTTTCCGGCGTGGTTTCCCTTGTCAGTGATGCAGGACGGAGGAACTGACAGACGGACAGCAGTCTAGTCGTTATGGGACGAAAAACCGAGGTCCCGTGTAGACATTGGCATGCACATAAAAGATCCCTTGGCAGTTGGAATTCGATATAAGAGTAGGCCGTAGCCCCGCTGCCCAGGCAAAATTTCCCTCATAGTACACTGTATGGCATATGCTCGTCTTTAGATAAAGATTTAGATAAAGAGCTGACCATTCTTGCTATGATTGTTCAAAAATAAATAATATACATGTAAAATGAAAATTTCATTCAAATTACTTCATTCTAAGCCAAGTTATCACAGTTTCTAGTTTCGACATGATGTGTGCATTGTGGTAATGAGGGCACAGGTATATTCGAGACTTGGCCTCACTTTCCCATTTTTTAATTAAATTTTTAAATTGCAGGCCAGTTAAAATCTTGAGTATCCAATGCCTTCATATTGCATACTTTTACACATTTTGTCAGGCAGTTTCATTTTGATTTTCCCTTAATTCGAATTCAACCTTGATTATGCGATTTTTCGAACAATCAGGAGCCATAATCGAGGAAGTTACGTTCGGATATGCGCGATTATGAAAAGGAACCAAGATCTTAGTGTGTAATGGTTATATATTCCCATTGTTTTTTTTTTATAAATCGAATAAAAATTGTGACCTCTATAGGGACCACAAGCTAAAAACGGATGGACGTCCAGACGGACAAGGGCTACGACAATATACGTCCACATGAAAATGTGGGCGTATAAAAATTGTGACCTCTATAGGGTCCACAAGCTAAAAACTTGATTTTTCGTACAATCAGGGACCATAATCCAAGAAGTTACGGTCAGATACATGCCAATATCGAAAGCAACCAAGATCTTTTGGAGATAAACCTATATTTCAAGTTTCGTCAAAATCGGATAAGAATTGTGACCTGTAGAGTGTCCACAAACAATTGTGTACAGACGTCCGGACGGACCGGGGCTACCACAATATACGTCCACATGAAAATGTGGGCATATAAAAATTTTGACCTCTATAGGGTCCACAAGCTAAAAACATGACTTTCAGTACAATCAGGGGCCATAATCCATGAAGTTACGGTCCCACAAACAATTGTGGACGGACCGATGGACGTTCGGACGGACAGGGGCTACAAAAATATACGTCTACATGAAAATGTTAGCGTATAAAAAACTGTCACCTTCACAATCACAAACTAATTTGGACAAACAAACAGTCAGGGCAACAATATAATACCCCAGTATTGAAATAAGGTATATACTAAATTACACCAATATTACATGTGTGATAGAATTTGTTAAACACATTACAAATATAATTTTAACACAGATTTTTGCTATTATTGATCTATCACAAAAATTTGAAGAAT